AATGTTAGAGAATATTCACAACTATTTTGGTCGTAAATTAGTAATAGTATTGTGATTATTATACAATTTGCCTCTTAATTAGGAATAACTTCTTATTATTTTTAACCAACTAGTTTATATATATACACACACACACACACACATCAAATATTCAAGTAGTATTTAAGATTAAAATAGAATTATAATTAGTTGTAAAATATATTAAGTATTCTTATTATTATATAAAAACTAATGAATTCTATATAAATTCTCTATTCCTTAAACTATATTCAAAACTTTATAAAAAAAATCGGAATATAAGTTATACCCCAAAAAGTAATAATTTTTTAATATATAATAATAATAAAAAAAATAATTGATAAATAAAATAACAAAAATAGCTAAGTTACAATGGTCCTATAAAATACAAAAGATACTGATAAAACTAATAGATATTATAATTATTTAATATATCTCAGTATCACCTTTTGGAAGTATCATGTTTGGGAGCTAAATTATATTTATTCAATCTATAAATGACCATCTCTTTTAGTAATTATTTTATAAATGAAAATATATTTTTATAAATTGATGCCATAAATTTCCTGCAAAATTCTAAACTGAGTTTTAGTGACCTTGTTTGGAACTGCCTTAAAGATTATGTAAATCTCCTCCATGCACTCACTCAAGCATTAGATAGCACTTATTACTGTTAGTTTTCAAGAATAATCAAGATTATTATTCAATATTACCACAGTTTGCAGAAATAAACACCAAATTATTAGTAAATTTTCTCTTGAAATAAGAAACTGTAATTAAAACTACATTACATTGAACATATCTCAACTCTAAGAACCAAAAAGAAAAAAAAATTATGCAAGGTTTAAAGAACATTTGAATAAGATAATGATGAAAAAATTTAACAAATAACAGAAAGTAAATTGATTGAATAAGAACTGAAACAAGCACCACTAGAACACAACCAAATTTTCTAGCTAAATGGTGGGGATTTACACTACAAATCTCCTGGGAAACTTTACTGCTGAAAGGCAAATAGTACATGCTTGAATGGTAGGAATGTTTATTGGGAAAATAATGATATATTTATTTTCCTTTCTTGTATTGTCAGTAGGCATTCAGAATATTACCTGTCTTAACATTCTCTGTCTGAAAACATACATTCTATGAAGCTTGTACATTGTTATTCCATGAAGGATCCACTGGAGGAAGCCGGTACTCGTCAGGTTTAAGGGACAACACGAAATCTGGTAACACTGGAGCTGCCTGCATAATCCTGCAACCAAATTTACTTACCATAATCATCCAGTTCCCAAATTTCTGCATCTTTTTCGTGAGTTTTAGCCCCAAAACTCTTCTAGTAGGATTTCTGTAAAGAATCTAAGGAGGAAGTACTGAAAGACAATGAAAAACCTACTTATGTTGATTGTTGAAGTGTTGCTTGATGAAAACTTTACTTGCGATATCTCTTGGAATTTTCTCAGCAAGGCACATGCTGGTGTCCCAAAGAGGTGGACTACTGAACCAGAATAATAGCTCAAACTATGTAAGCTGGAGAGAAACTCTATATCTACCATGAACTATGTTAGTAGAATATTCAATAATTGGTTATGCCTCATGGTTTGATTTGTGTAGACTTTAAAGCATTTTCATTGATCCTGACAAGTTAAAATTGAAACAGAAAGATGAAAGAACAAGTTTATTTGATTTGAGGGTTACATATAGATATCTACTTTTTTGAGATACGAATACATATAGATAAATAATCCTGCAAATTAAGAATGATGCATCTTCGCATAAACGGGTGAGATTTATTACGAGAAAGCAAGAGATCTAAAGCAAGTACCGTGATATGGGAGGCATCATATGAAAAGATTCACAGGCTTTCTTGCTTTCACTAACTAACTTATGTGCTGTTTGTAAAGCAGCTGCAGCCATCTCGCTGGACTTTTCTGTGTTTCCTTCATTAAGGATTAAACCATGGAAATAGTAGGCAACAGCCTGAAGTAATAACTGACTTGCATTATATTATGTAGCAGTTGGTAAGTATGTACTAAAAATATATATCCAATATTACAGAATGGGATGGAAGATGCTGAAACTGATATGCTGGTAGGGAAGGAGATGTATACCTTGGCTTCAATATATTTCCAGTCAATAAAAAGTTTATGCTTTTCTCCCCATCTATTTGCTAGCGGAAGGTCCATAATACTCTCATGAGCCTGAAGATACATAAATGATAAGTTTTAGTAGCATCTCAAACTATAAACAGAGTTATAAAATGAGCTTATCTTGGGAAGTCAATTTTTAAAGAAACCATTTGTACTAAGTTATCTGATATGAAGAAGGAATATGCATCTGTTCAAGAGGATATGGTACAGAGATCTCAATTTCAAACCATGTTTATCTTCTTCTCTCATAAAATAAGGCATATTAAGAGTTCAAAAAATAGAAAAGTAAACAGTGAACCTAAGATAACCAAAAAGTTTTCTATAAGAGGTTCTTGGTTTGAGTCAGGTTGTGCTTTTCGTGTGTCCTCAATTATGATGAGTATGTAAATAAATTTGTACCATTAAAAAAAGTATAAGATAGATGCAACACCTGACCCAAATATGTAACCATCTCACAGGCAAGCCTCCTTTTCACTGCTAGTGTAGCTTTGAGGCTATCAATTGCCATTCCAAGCTGAACATTAACACCCTGTAATATACCAAGGGAGAAAAGAAAGAGAAGGAGGTAAAATTTGCGTCAGTTAAAAAGTGAAGAGGGTATTAGTTCATAACTTTTATGTTAATTTTAATTTACAGAATCACCACGACTTATTGTCTTCAAATTATTTATATTGTACTTTAAATCTTTTAGAGGTGAAAATTTAACTTTTTTCTTAACAACTATTCCATGCTAAGGGATCAATCAGTAATGCAGTTAATCGAAGAGGGTTTGCAAGACTTACATGATTCATTAGTACAACTTGTTTGGCAGAATTCATGCAGTTTTTTTAATTGTTTTACAGCCGAGATTGGTAATTTTACTGTTGAATAGCATATGGTAAATATGGTGAACTTTTTAATTAAACACTTGAGAAGAGAAGTTATGGTATTTGTTACCATCCATTTAGGTATCTACTTCACCTGGCCAAGAGCTTGCAGGCTAAGAGCTTGAAGAACTTCTTGGGTCAGATCCAATGGTAGATCTTTCCTGCAATAAGCACACATACCAAGTGATCAACTACCTTTCAGAAGATATAAGATTGAAAATTCAAATCTGGAAATTCAGGTAGATGATCTTTAAAGAAGGGATTCCGCAAGAAACCTGAGTTCAAAGGGAAACTGTGGAAGAACATGTTGGACAGCAAATTCTAAGTATCCTGCTGCCCTTAAGAAGACATCAATGGAAGCTTTTCTGCACTCTGGTAAAACAGATAGCCATTAATCAGTCTGACAGAGAGTTTATCGGGAAGCACAAAGGAAGAGACAGGTCTTTAAATGTTGAAAATAAACTTGTATTGGTTGAATGCAAACACAGAAATAGGCAAGTTAAGAACCAATGTAACGGTAACTATCAAAAAGATTAAATCTAAAATTAAAGGTGACAGCATTTGGAAGAAATGCAACAGGACTTAGTTCTTGATCTCTCTGGGAATTTATTTTCTACCTTTATCAATCTTAGCTCGTTAAGCTGCTCAATAATTTACATAAAATGGGACAACTAATACTAAACGTACAACTTGGAATATGATTAATGTTTAAAGAACACTTATATGGTGATTAAATGTTCTATTAAACTGGATTAATGTTCTTTACATTCTCTTTTTAACATGACCTAGTTGCCAATCATGTTTGCAGTTACAATGGGAAATGACATAGAGTCTGAGCAGAAAACTGAAAATACTAGCTCTCACCTGCTGCGACTTTGAGCACAGATCCATCTGGTGGCACCTTGGGCAGAAGTAATAAATTGGCTTGTGATAATGATAGCATAGCCAACAAATGCAAAACTGATAACACCTCATACCAGTAATCTGACATGGTTGTCTCCTGCAAAGATGCTAATGGAATTCAACAATCACATATAATCTTATTAAGAAGGAAATGACCAAGATTTAATCTACCAGTTGATCAGTTAATTTCAGGCCTGATAACACTCACCTTTGAACTGTCCTCCTGATTTACCCAAGAGAATTGAACCATATTCTGTAGCTGCTTCCCTGCGTAATATGTTGAAACAAATAAAAGCTTGTATTAAACAGGGAACACCTTCAAAAAGAGATCTTATATTCCAAGCTCTGGCTTCCAGGTTCCGCTTCTTGTGCTAATAACTCCATAAAGAGAGAAGAGATTGTTTCGGGTCTGGGAGAAGAACAAGTTTGACTCGACAAAACTAATCAAGTTTATTTCTTGGGTAAGTTGGGTTGAACACGTCCCATTTTCAACTAGCATCAGTCAGAAGATTCTTCATGTCATTCGATTGAAAAACTCTTGAAAGGAAGCCTAGCAGGAGATGAGGTGGAAGAATGAAAATTTTCCAGAAGGAAAGACTTAAGATTCAGTATAATCTCTCAAGCAAAACCCAATTTGTAAAAATTTCCTTATCTATTTGTACAATGAAGTGTTGAAATATTCAGCATTTTCAATTTTCAATGCCACTATTAAATTTCAACAATATCATCCACATACCATTCTGAACGAGCCCCAATAAGACCGGCAGGTAGTCCTCGAGAGCTTGCTGAAGATCATCCAATGTTGAACCCCCTGCAAGGAAATCAACAAGAAGAAGCCAAATTTGAGATGTCAACAAAATTCAAAAAGTCTTAACTAATAGCGAAAGGATAACATGAAACCATGTTGCCTGCTCTTCTTCTTGGTTTTTGTGTCACCAGCAATTTTCTTTGTCCGCCATC